CAAATATAATAAAAATATTTGTGTAATTAAATAGTTTTTTTTCTAAATTTTATCTTAATTTTTTAAAATAATAAATAATATTCTCTTTTTAATAAGCATGACAACTAAAATCGGTCGGAGCAAGTAGATTCCAATTTCCAACTACAAGTAAAGAAACCGATTGTTCTAATAAATCTGCTAAATCAATACTTCCTCTCTCCAACAATACTCGTCCACTATTGACTTTACACATTTCTTAAGAAATTAATAGAAGAATAATTATACTATATCACCCTTTAAATATAATAAATATAATATCTTGAAAAATGTAATAGAGAAATGACTATAATTAATGATAAGAATAAATTAGGAGCTAAGTATAAAATTATCCACTGATTTCATAAAGTGAACAAATATTATTGGATATTCCAAAATAGTACTCCCTCCGTTCCTATTCATATGTCACAATTTTTTATTTCACGTGAATAAGAAATTAAGTAAGTTTACCATTCTATCCTTATTTAAAAAATTTTAAGTCAACTTTTTCAACCAATGAATATGAAATTATTTATTGTGATTAATTAATTTGATCAATGAACATAAATTATTCATTTAATTTTTATGTTAGTCAAATATATATTTTCAAGGCTAATAACTCACAAGGGTAAAATACAAAGAATATTACAATTTATGCATTGATTTTATGAAATGACAAATATCATGAATCAACTATTTATAGTAAATATAACATATAAAAAAGAACCGAAAAACATAATATATTAAACAAATATTATTGAACGAAGAGAGTATTAAATTCCACATACTCCTAAACAACTACATAGAAATGACTTTACAACGATCCTATAGTACTCTAGAAAAATCAGCAAACTCATGATATAAACTTTTTATGATATTTATTTTGCTTTTTCAATGGTTGAACCGTTGAAGAGCCTTTAAAGTTTTTACTCTTTACTTTCGCTTTTACTTTATCTATTTTAGATTTTAGAAGTCTTTTTAAAATACTGATTAATAGAAGTATTTACCATAATATATATATTATTAATATATAATTTTTTGTTTTGAAAATTAATTCAGAAAATAAGTAATTAATATTAAGAATAAAATATTTTTTAAAATATATTAAAAATAATAAATAAAAATTATTTTTGAAATACCGAAGAAGCAAAACTGAAAGGGAGAAGTAGTAGGAGTTATGAGCTATAATGACCAACCCCCTATTTAAAGTTTCTCTAGCTATATTTCAACGCCCTTCTTCAACTCAACTGTATACGGACTCTTATTATTTAATGACAATTTCAGATAAAATGATGAAAATATAGTTTCTTATTTATTTTTTATAGTAGATTCAAAATAATCGTTTAAATATCAATTTGAATTGTTTTTGTCTTTTAAATTTATCAAAAAGTGAGCGTTTTTTCAGTCTTTAATGAATATTTACCAATTCTGATTGTTAAATTTAACAATGAGAATTTTTAAAAATAGAAATTATTTAGTTGGAACTAACATTTGAAAGTATAAATTTTGTAGCTTTATGTTATTTTTGGTCCTTTATTTTTGTGTGCGTTTGTTGTAGTTTCTGGAATTTTAATAAAATATCTTGGTGTATCTGGTTAAAAATTATTTCACAATTTCGGTTATATTTAACAATTAGAGTTTGTTTAATGGAAACCAAAATTACCCAAATAATTATCAAGTGATTACTATTTTGGACTTAATTACTTCCAAAAATAAAGGACCATTTTATAATTTTCTAGACAATTTCATAACCCCCTTTGTCATCACGAAAGGATGTGGTGCAGTGGATGAAACTGCTCCTCCCTTAACCCGAAGTCTCAAAGTCGAGCCTTGGCTATGAAAAAAATCTTGGTAAGGAAAACTTCTCTTGAATGAGGCTCTACATGACACGAATCTGAAATAGTCGAACTCCAATACAGATATCAGATAACGTCCTCCCCTCTTCATCTTCTCTATATCTTATTAACGTCACGACCTATGTGTCTAAATACAATAACTCTACAGCTAATATTTTGTCTATAGGCTTCCTTTGGAAGGAAAAATTACGACGTATATCTGCTTTTAATTGTGTTGGTGGAAGATGTATCATTTGGGGTTGTTTGGTTTCATTACATTAAACATGTTTAATTGATTGATCTGATCATATAACAAAAATATGTGTTTAATTGGTTGCTCATATTAAATTTTATATAGCTAATATAGACGTAACAGTATATCAATTATTATATGCAAGATAAGGTGCAACTTTATCGTAAGCGTTGTCGAAGGGTGGTTGTATATATCACCAATTTGGAAATTACAAACTTGTCGTCAAAATTTTTACTAAAAGATTTCAAAATATAAAGAATCGAACAGATTTTAACTTCCCTCTTGGTTACTATGCTTTGATATATTAGTTTTGGGTGTGAAAATCATGATCCACCCAACTGTTTATGTTAGGGCGGATTATAGTAATCTGCATATTTTATTAACTGGGCTTATTTTGACTCGCATAATTCAAGCCATTTTAAAACTATACTAATAGGCAATGCAAATTGACCAATGAGAAACTTTGTCTGAAATGTTTTAAAAAGACATTCTTTTATTTGACAAGTTTTTTAAATTCATAATATAAGAAAAACAAGTTTTATTAAGTATTCAAGCATGCAAATTATAACAAAACAAACTTTGAATTTGAAACTAAGTAAGAATTGAACGGATTGGATTATAATGTTTCAATTTTTAGCTCATTTCAACTCAACTTGTTTCAGCGGGTCAATGACACACTTATTTATCAACTCAACCTATTTTAACATTTTGAAATTCAGCTCAACTCACTCATTTGAAACCCCAATAGGTGTTGATCATCAATTATCTTCTATCCCAATAAAATAAACATGCAATTATAATTGAACAAACAACTCCTTTTATTAATAGCTTCTTTATTATTATAAAAAAAAAAAAATTATATACTTAACGAGTTCTCATTTCTCAATATAAAATATAAAGTTCAGACAAAAATTATTGAGTTTCCGAAAACCCCATCCAATATGTTGTATCCTCCCCTATGTGCATTATAATATGTGCATAATTAGTCCATAAACCAATCAGAAACCTATAGTTTCTTAATTACAATTCCAATAGAAAAAAAAGAAAAAAAAATCATGAATGGACTAAAGATGAAGGATTTTATGAAAGATCTTCCTTAAAAAAGTTATATATCCCATACTGAAGGGATAAATATCTCATGAATGAACATTTTGCAAGTTCCTTTTCCCCATCCATTATAAAGTAATTGGCATTAATGGCAGCTTGCTATACACACAATGATATATTACATCGCTCACTTATTAATAGTAGACCAACAATCAAGTAGAGGGATAGTGACATGAGTGCAATCTACTTTAATTTCTCCGGTCCAAAATACTTGTCATGTTTTACTTTTTGAAAGTCAAATAATTACTCAGCAAGTTAAGTGATATGAGAAGAATCACAGTATATTGTTACGTATAATTTTTGAATATTTTAATTAATGTAATTTTAATATTTTGAACTAATCTGATCTAATTTAGCTCCGAAATTTAAAACTTGAAAGTAGGAAGAGAATAATATCTCAAGTAATTTAGCTCCGAAATTACTTGAACTTTGACCAGCATTTTAAGATAATTTTTTAAACCCATATTGATATGAGAGAATCATAATATATTGTATTTATTTTATAATTTTTTAATCTATCTTGTCTATATTAATTGAATTGTTGAGGTTTGACACACCCCATAAGAAGAAGAAAATACGTTTTAGCATAAATTACACAATATTTTTCACTATTATTCTTTTGATTATTTCCAAACTATTCTATTTAAGAACCTCTGAAGGATAAATATGAAGAAAAAAAGTTTCAATAGTTTTCTTAAACTTTGAGTAATTTATTTATTTTAAATTATGAAAAAAGTCTCAACAATTTACTTAATATATGGACTAAGAGGAGATAATTGTATTTCTTGCAAAATTATATTTTATGTCCTTGAATGTTTTTCTTAATAAATGTGCATTGCCTCACAAATTCAGTTAATATGGAATAGAGAAAGTAATATCTAAATTGTAATTTTACAAATATTGAATTAATCTAATCTAATTTATTTCCAAAACTTAATTAAATCAACTCTCAAGAAGCGAAACAGAAAAATTAATGTGAGAGTACTATTTATATCATTAATTTTAATACTTTCATTCAAACACATAACTACTTATTTATAAAATTAACTCCAAACACTTAAAACTTATCAGCTATTTACCATGAGCTAACTCAAACAAAACTCTACATTTCTTGTGTATAATAATAAAAAATGACATAAACAAGAATTGTGTGGTCTAGCCAAGGTTTACATTAAAGTAAAGTGATCATAATATATGATGGCAAAAGCTAATAAATAGTACTCCCTCCGTTCTTATTTAGTTGTCCATATTTCCTCTTTTAGTTGTCTCTATTTAGTTGTCAATTTTGACAAATCAAGAAAGGACAACAAATTTTTTCCTATTATACCCTTATTTAAATAAAGTTGTCATAAATAAAGTAAATAAACTTATGAACTTCTCAACATTGATTAGTTATCTTGAGTTAATTTATTTTGAAATTGTAAATTGTACTATAAGGGTAAAATTGTAACTTCATTATGTTAATCATTGTTGTCTTAATCTGTGTGTCATTTCTAAAGTGGACAACTAAATAGGGACGGAGGAAGTATAAATTAGTGCATGCATGAGAAAGAGTGTAGATTTGACCAAAGAGATAAAAGAGTTAGTTAGTACTACCTACTTAGCTTTAAATAGCAGGTTGGAGGTGTATAGTAATTGCAAAGTCCCAACTCCAATTTAATTCAATTTACTTCTCACTTGAAGAGCACGTCATACAGAAATAATGGGACCCTTTCTACTTCCACATTTAAATTTTTGCCCTTTTAGATTCTATATTGCACTTACTTGCCACCCCCTATATAATCTTCCACAACATTTTATAATTATCTCAACAATCCAAAAATATATATATTATTAGTGATGGTGTCTTTTCATAAAATAAGTCAAATTCCAAAACAAAGAAATGTAATGGAAGATTTATGTAAGAAGAGAAAATGGGAAGATGATCAATTGTCTTGTGATGAAATAAAGCCACAAATTCAAGCAAAAAAAATTACAACTTTGTTTGGTACACAATTGAATCCTGAGACTCCTCTTCCTTTGGAGTGGCAAAGATGTCTTGATATTAAGGTATGCTATTTTTTTTTATATGTATAACAATGGTGTTCTTGTTAGTGTGTGCGTGTCTGAAGATAATATTTTTTTTGAATTCTCTTGACATAAGAGAGGTAATTGTGTTTCAGAAAAATTGTTTTGTTTTGTTTTGTTATTAGTTGAATGACTTTGTCCACTAATATTTAATAGTCAGTTGGAAATTTTAAAACTATCTTTAATGAGATTTGAATCTCCCCATCTTATGGATTTTTTACTCACTTCACTGATCGGTAGGTCATACTTTTAAGATCATATTATTGATGTATTTTTCTTTCAAGAAATACTATAAAACTAGTTAAAAGACTTCGAGCCCGTTTGAATGAATTTAATGAAAGCGTTTAAGTTAAAAATAATTTTTGAACTCTACATCATGTTTTGAAAAAGTAAAAAAAAAAATTAAAAAATTCAACCATTTGATTTTAAACCAAAATAAAAACAACAATAAAAAAGTCAAAAGTTGGGATCCCAATAATTTATTCTTAAAAGTCACATAAAATAAGTACATCCAATCATGTGCTTAAGCATAAAATATTATGAAAGGTAGAGTATACAGTCTTATTTGGTACACTGGAAATTACAGTGTGTAACTAGCTAGGTAAAAAATATTAATATACATATATGTTTTTTGATTTTTTCATATATTTTCTTTTTTGTATTTTGACTCATCCGAGTAAAGATTTTGAATCCGCCACTGATTTTTTAATTCTTTTTGTTGTTTTATAAATGCAGTCTGGACAGATTTACTTCTACAACACAAGAACACAAAAGAGAACATCAAGAGATCCAAGACTAAGTGAGCCTGAACCACTACCAACACATCAAGTGCATATGAGTTTAGATCTTGAACTCAACTTATTACCATCATATCAATCACCAGAAAAAATCAACCAAATTGATGACAATTTTGTTAGCAACACCTCAAATCACTTCATAAAAAAAGACAATTATGAGTCTAAAGGTTTAATCAATCGTTCACCTTCATGGCTAACATTTGATGTTGATCAACAAGAAATGGTCACTGCAGTTTGCAAAAAATGTCACATGTTAGTAATGATGTCAAAATCTTCACCAACATGTCCAAATTGCAAATTTGTACATCCATTAGATGAAAACTACTCCTACCCTTTTTAAGAAAAGGCTAAGCTCCTTTTGATTAATTAATAAAAGTATAGCCAAGTGGCAAATAATATAGCTAAGCCTCCTAGTACCTTTTAGAAAAACATTATATATATTTTATGTAATATTTTCTGAATCGAAGGTGAACTATAATTTCGTATGGTAAAGAGGAAATTATTGTTGTAAAGGAAGGCGACATTTATTACTGTTTTCGATATGTACATAGTTATTTTACCCGGAAAAAATAGACCATTGCTAACTTTATGAGTTTATTGCTATGGTATCATGAATGATTCGTAAAATAAAATAAAAAAATGGGTACTATATAATTATATTGAAATTTTGCAACATCAAAGTTTTTGAGTTAGTTTTTCATTATTTATTTTTTTGGAGAATATGTATGGACCGACAATAATATCGATCATAGGGTAGTTAATGTATTTGTTTCAAGTTCCTTTAATTAGGCCATTAAAGTATCAAGTTAATGCACCTAAAAAGGGTTTCTTAAATTTGATTTGGGAGTTAAACGGTGTAATCATATCACTTGAAAAAAGTAAAAATATTTTTTTTCATTCTGTTACTTTTTACTAGTCAATTTTTTTTTATTTCACTTATCCATCTTTTACGAATCAAGAGATTTTATATTTTTATATATATATTATCCTATATATAGTATTAAGTACCTACACTAAATTTATTGGAATTACAACTTGATGACCGATAACAATGATAATTTAGTAAATAAGACTCTAAATTATAATGAATCTAGGGAAAGGGAACAAACAAAAATATGGAAATCAGTTTATGTACCTTTTTACTAACCTGGTTGTAGTGTAGTGATGGAATTGTTCAACCTTTAATCAGAGGTCTCGAATTTGAGCCTTTGATATGGAGAAATTCAACCTCAAATGTGCGATCCAAATTTAGTCAAAACCCTAATGTGGACACCGGGTGGAAAAAGAAAAAGAAAATTTGAGAGCTCATCACTGTTAAGAATCTATGGAAATTCTTCAATACGTAAAATGATTATGCTTTGAACAGCTATATGTTTGTTAATCTTCTGAAATTGTTGTTGCATGATCAAAACAATGTTTTTGTAAACCCACCAGTCACCCTTCTTCTACTCCATAACTAAGCTTCTGTTATTTCAGGCCATTCCTTTCTTTTTTTTCTTGGTGTAAAATTGTGATATAAAATCGGTCTATTTTCATCATTAGCACAAGATCTTCATCTAAGGAGAAACTTTTAGACTTGTTATCTAGGAACTTATTAAAACATAATGTAATGAAAGGAACACGGACATTTATTAATCGTCCAATTCCTATAGAACCTATCTTAAAACATTCGATAGTTTGTACATGCAAGAAATTTGAAACACTTGATGGCGACAATAAGCCCTCATTTTCCTCTCCTCTTATTGTTAGGACCAAAATAATTAGGTGTCATGCGGAAGCTAGCAAAACAAACCTCAAAATACCATGAGTAAGAAGACAAGCAAAAAATATACCAAAAGATACAAAGATTTAACGTGGTTCGATCAACCAACCTACATCCACAAAAGAGATAAGCAATCCACTATATAAATATAAGAGTACAAAATATAGAGAGAAATAATATCAACCAATTCACTTGTAATACAAGGAGGTTCACACACAAGTGATAACGTATCACTTGTGTCCCATAAATTCTCCCCCTAACCAAAACTCTCAAAATTTCTACGACTACATTGTGAAAGTTTGATTAAGTTAAAAGGAACAAACCTCTATTTCTGATAAGAAACTCAGGACAACTAATACCCAACACTTACCTCGCAATTAATAAGAGAACATACAAAAATAGTTTGAAGAGAAGGGGCGGGTAAGGAAGAAACGAAACTTGCTCCAACCAAGTGTGGCCCTGGGACATATCTCTGGACATCGAAATAAATAATCAGATCCATACAACATAATAGGGGCATTATGCCCAGTTTGTACAAAACAATCACGAGGTGCACTTTCCTATCCAAAAAAAGTACAGAATGTTTTAAACTGTTAAGTAGATCTACCTACAAAATTGTAGACAACAAATGTCTACTTTGTTCTTCTTTTCTTCTGTTTCTTATATTGTTCATATAGATTCAGAGACAATGTTGTCCCAACCAGTTCCCCTCTTAGTCTTTCATTTTCAGCTATGTCATGCAGCAGTGAATAATGCTCAGAGAGTTTCCTTTTAACATCATTTTCATCAACTTGAACAGTGGAATCGAGGTCAGCCCCCTTACTAATTTGCTTTAGTGAGGCATTCCCTTTTTTTCTCTTGGCATTAAGATCAACTTTTACGATGAACGAGTCCTGCTCAAGTGACAACTCCTTAAAAGCTTGTTGAGGAGATTTGTTGGACAGGTGAATCTGGTTATCACCAGTGCCCAACATAGAAATGTTGGATGCCATTGTAGAAACAGCTGGATGGTAATGCTTTGACAAGAGGTTAAGCTCCCAAAGCACTGAAGCAAGTGCACCACTAAGGTTCGGATCAGTTGCATAAGGCTGATATTTCTGCAACAGAAAAGAACTGGCATCAGCACATTCTACAGGTTCAACTATCTACTGAATATGAATGGCACAATTGGAAACATTTCTTTTTCATGAGAAGGGGGTCATTTCAGTATGAAGCATATAGTTGGTACCATGAGTGGCACAGAACACAAATGTCATTGAACATTTCCACAGCTTCCCTGATGGGAAGTTCAATACATTACGACAACTTCAGAAAATACTATGAAAAGTCTAGAAGTACATTGCATCAGGAATGCCTACTCCTGAATATACTAGATATAAATGCTCTGCAAAGTTTCTATACCACCACAGTGTCAACAGATCCAAGCCCTATGTTTACCATGCCTCTGGTTCCTTCCTCCCTGACCCCCCACCCCTACCCAAAAGAAAGTATATAAACGAAGCTGGGGAACAAAATTAGAGGTGTCCGTGAACAGAAGGGCAGAAGAGGTGGACTTCTCTTATTTTCTTCAGAAATATCATGTGCATCAATGATCCATATTCAAACTTCAAATATACAAAAGTAAAACCAACTTATGTAAGTAACAAGTCAACATCATTACACCATCAGTGCCATATAATTAATCAGAAAGAAGACAGGTTCATACCGCAATGGCACCAGAAACAGAGCCGCCTCCAGCATCATTTTCTAATAAGTTCCGGCATTTGACGTTCTTCTGAAGAAGATGCTTCAAAGTCACCAAGGCTGCAATAGTTTGACAAATGAGAACCATAAATCATAACATATATAATCTTGATTAAGAACAAATAGCAGTCTAGTGATGACTAGAAAAATATGTCGTTACCAGCCAAGGACTCTGCAGGCCCAGAGCATAAAGAGAATGTAGCTAAACGTTTTATAAAAGCTGCAGCCCTTTGCATGTCATGTTGTCGATCATCACAAAGCATTATCTTCAAAGCTTCAGCTAAGATCTCACCTTTATCCCTGCTTACAAAGAAGATGGCTAACCGTGTTACTCTAGCCTTAGATGATGTAACCTCTGACTAATTGAATAAATATCCAACTCTGGTACTCAGAGAGGAGGGTGAAATGTACAAATCTTTCCTCCTCCTTAAAAGGAGGATGTGGAAAAAAATAGGGTGGAAAGTTAAGACTACCAGTGCCAAATAATTGAAACATAGTGATTTGATAGATGGAGAACTACCTTCCTGGCCTGTACTCAATTAACAGATTGTAAAGTTGGACAAAAAAATCCTGAAGATCAACATTCAGTGCGTCCAAATTGTTTCTCATCACTCTGAAAGCGACAATGCAACACTGGAGCCTTTCAGATACTGTCAGACATGCTGAAACATCCTTGGAAGAGCCATCAGAGCTATTGCCACTTCTGGCAAGCTTTCTCAGATAATTCATGAGATCAGACATGAAATCTAAGTCAATAAGCTGGCAAAACTTCCCAATTCCATTAAGACAAGGAGTAAGAAGTGGATAACTTCCAGCTGGCTGAGATGAGGAACCTGCTTCTGATCTGAGAAACGATCACAGTGAAGTTACTTTCTGAGAAAGAATCAAACAAAAAACATAGTGGATTGGTATAAAATCCAAAGAGTTGGGCACTGAATCATCCAAAAAATTATGTCTTCTTTAAATTCTTTATGAGAAAATCAATTAAATAAGAAAGGAAATGAAAGGTGGCATTCATTCTCCTATTCGTCTTCCTCAGATATCTTCTTCTAGTTTCATAAATTGATCTCAACTGCAAATTTGATTCATATACCTCTTCTTTTATAGTGATGGCTAATTATAGTTTTGCAAAGAGAAAGGAAATGACTGACTGGCTTGACAATCATGTATTCTTTTCTCCTAGGTAGGATTTTCCTCTCTATAAAAGCTAGAAAGCTTTCTGCAAAGGATCATGTTTTTGTGTGCGATTCTCTACTTCCCTATACATTTGTATGACAGGATTTCTCATTAAATCAATACAATTTCACCAAAATAATAATAAACGACAGGTAGCCCAAAAAATGGAAGCGCAGTATTTTTCTTTCCTCACTGAGGAACTAGTTCTATGATGTGGTTCAAGTTCAAACCTAGTGTGTTCATGATAATTGAATTCATTGATTGACATGCTCCATTACATCATCAGCAAGAAAAACATACCTAGGCTTTATGGCATGCTTTAGGACACGAAAGTATGTCTCAAAGATAGCTGATAATACATCAGTCTGCATCCTTCTCCTTTCAGTAACATCTGTAGCTAATGAAGCAGCCTTCAATTCTGTAGTGACCTATGAAAACATGAGATGCGCAAATGAACTTACACTTAACAAGTCCAGTCACAGATCATGTTGGCAAAAGAATACCTCTTCTCGTGTCTTTGACATCATCTCTTTCCGTGTTCTCTTTTTCTCGTTGGCAGCTGATTCTTTCTGCTCCTTAAGGTCCTTTCTTTTAGCATTTTTGCTTTTAAATTTATTCTTAGCATCTTGAGCTTCGCGCCTTCCAAGGTCATCATCAAATGTCAGAGACATGAACACCTGAGCATGACAAAATCATGTTAGGAGGACAATCATTCTCCCACTGCTAAATCAAAAACTATTTCTAATAGGTTGAGATTCAACAAAAATTAAGTAAGAATTCCCAGGTAGACCCTGTACTTGAATAAATGTTGTTGAGAGTATTAATTCATATGTTGACTAGCAACATTTTAAAAGATCGCCATCTTCTTCATCAATTATTTGACACTGCCATCATATTTAACATTGGAATATTCACCTTTTTCCCAATACCCAGGATATATGCTTCAAATTCACATCATATTTAAGTTCAATATGTCATCATAAACAATCTAAGAAAAAATATCCTAAAACCAAAGTTTCGGTATTAAAATTGCAGACCTCAATGGAATCAGGATGTAGTTGACAATCAGAAGCTTTAACAAGGTCTGCAATCATTTGAACAGCCTCCACCGTTACCTCACCACCGTGCTTCCCCTCATTGGTGAAAAGTGACTTAACAGTAGCACAGCAAAGTTTCCTGTCAACAAGCAGTAGATAGATAAACTTGAGAGAACATAGTTGCTACTTCAAAAAACAGCATAACCTGGAGGCACAAGTATATTTGAATATTCTGTTTCACAATCAGCATGCATCTATGGAGAGAGAGGACTAATCTACAAAACAATGCAACATATCTCAATTAACTTTAAAGTGCACGAACTCTGTACAATAAATTTTCAAGCTTTGCCAATAGAAGCAATTTAGTAGATCTTGAAATGACATATTAGCATTCAACTTTTGGACAAGACAGGAAGCAACAACAATAACAAACCCGGGGTAATCCCACATGTGGTCTGGGGAGGATAGTTTGTCACTAAAACTAAGCTCACCTCTTTAAAACGGAAACTTCTTCTTCCACTATCAAAGCTTTTAAAGTTAATAATAGCAAAAAGTGGCTAGGGATTCAATATAACAAAATTAAAGGCTCGGCTTCATAATTTAAAGTTGAGTATAAGTCTCAACTATTCCCTAATATATACGCCTAATCGAATTACATCAACAAAAACGGGAAAATAGATTAGACATAATATATTGGATGAATGTAAAGCATTAAAGTAAACAAAGGTGTTGGATTGATTAACTAATGAGAAGCCCTTTTAAATCCTCAAAATTTTTTAGAGAAACCTCTTTCAAATCTTCTATTACTCCAAACCCTCAAACATTCCAATAAATAGTTTAAATATAGCCTCTACAAAGAAGTGATTGCAATATTTGCCCCCAAAGCCCTGGTCTAGCAGTAAGAGTGCAGTGTATTATGCGTGTGTTAGACACATGTTACAAATTTGGGATCTTCCCTACACAAAAGCCTTGTATTTAAGTGGAGAAGGGTATAGGGATTAGGGGAAGGCTCATTACCCACAGAGTTTCGAACCATGGGTTACTAGCCCTCTAGGTTATCAAAAAAGAATGCATTGCAATTTTATGGGGTCTCTCAGTCATCCAACTAACCAAATAGAGACCTGATTATCAGGTTTACTCTCTATAACCTCATTGCACTTAAAAAGTTATATATTAATTCAGCCTCACAATTAAGGACTTCAATACCAGTCCTTCCATGGAATAAGTGCTTGTAATTGTAGATTTATTTTAAAGCTTAATTTTCTGCAACCAAGTCAGAACAGAAACCAAATAACGCTTGTCTTGCATCCTTTATAATGCCAGAGCAACTCGAAATGAAGAAAGTTTGTATACGACTAGTCGTGAGAACTGAAGATTTTCACCACCAGAAGTCCAGAACAGGATCATAGGGCAACCCAATGAAGGATTCATGGAGGGCAAAAGATACAAAATGGAAGGAAACGAAAGAGGAGCAGTAGGCATAATTTACCTTGATATGTCATCCTCAGAGCTTATGTTTCTTATGACAGCACCTAACAAATTCTCTCGGAAATTGAAGTGTGGAACTGCCTCGAGTAATATACAGATGCAGCGAACTGCGACACGTTTGTATACAGCCTGATTTTCAATAGCTAGCAGCTTCTGTATATACGCCTGTTAATACCCAAATAGGAAAAGGAGTAATGAGCAAAATTATATTTGAATCTGCAATCCAAATACATGAGTAACATTTCTAAGGATGCAAGTTAAGTCTCTAAGACCATTTTTATTGTCAAAAAAGTCTCCAAGACCATTTTGAAATAGGAAAATCATATTCTATGTAACTTTAAATTTCAATTTTTCTTCATCTCAGCAACTTACCTTGCTGATACGAGATATATCAAGAAGTTTATTTGAGAAAACGTACAGTCATCCTGATACATAATAACTTAGATTGTACCCATTTGATTGACCCCCTTTCAAAGACAAATTCTTACTTTTACTTCTATTCATTTCATAGAAGTTGCTTCAGTATGTGAGCATGCTTAACATAGTAGGAGTCTAGCTAGCCCTTACACTCGTCAAACTTATTTACTCATTCTCAGGTGATGAATTTACTTTAATACTTTGAATTTAATATCCCCCAGCTAAGATAATTCATATAATGCCCTGGATAAAAAAAAGTCTGTCTGGTGTTTATTCATACATAATAACAGGTAGAAATATGTAAAATAGTTGCAATGTAATGAGAATTCAATAACTCAACCTAACATCTGGAGGAATACATTAATTATTACAGCAGCCCTAGCACTCTCGTCTGCATTAAGTACCTCAAGATGCTATCATGTAACACCAGAAACAAGAACAGCTCGAAGAATATATATTCCTGTGTTTCATACTTCTTATTCCAAACGAAGTACAATTTCTATGGTCTGAATTCATATTTTTCCATCCACAAGACAAAAGGTCAAAAGTCTATTAACACAGTGCACTAAAAAGGTGGCACAATAATTTTCAAACAAAGAATTGGAACACAACAAAGTGGTAAAGCATGTTATTAACAATATGCACTAGCAGCTATAATATGAATTCAGATGTCAATCAATTAATATATGAGATTTTGATCCATAAATCAACCTTATATGCAGATAAGAGGGTAGATTCATAGAACCGCATTTTCTTAATAGCCTTTGATACTTTCATCTCCTGCTCCTTTTCAGTTGGCAGACGGATGCGATACCTGGAGCACATATTGAAAGGACAGAAGAAGAGTTAATCGTTTACATAGTAAAGTTGACAAAAGAACAAAAAACTACGACAAGTAAACTAGAAGCAGCCCATGAACTCTTGCAAGCTTCTCACCCAGGAATGATATCTCTGAAAACAGCCAACAAAGACTGAAGGGCAAGTACCGCTATATCACGATCACCATCTTTAGAAATCTCCAGCATCTCCTTGAGAGATTTGATGTTTAATTCAGGATCAGTAAGCAGTGCAGTTCCCAGCTCAGCTAGTCTAAACTTCTTTTTTTGATTGGCCTCTTCTGCTGTCATATCATTTCTCACCTCGTCCTAACACCAAGGAAGTATAAATCAATATACTTGTATCAAAATTTAAGTGTCCTTTTTTACCATAGTTAATAAAAATTTCTGCAACCAGCATACGGTAATGACAATATAAATCCCAGAATTCGAAGTAAACATCACTAAAATATACTTCAACAACGCCACTGAATTATAGATTGAATTGCAAAGCTACTTTCCAATTAATCAAATACAGAAGAGAATTATTGGCATTTAGTTTTAAATTTTTGTTTAAGTAATTGAACTAAGGGAGTAGAAGAGAGAAATAAGAAGAAGAAGGAAATGATTCAGAAGCTGGCTGGGACATCACGGTTATCAAAAAAAGATGTGATTCACAAGGAGCAGAAAAACAAAGGTGGTAGAAGAGAAGGTGCTACAAGCTCAAGAAGAAGAAGACAGCAGCAAAGAGGACACTAAAGTGTATATATAAGAGAAGTCCCAAGTATACTTAATATAAAAAAGCCCTATTTTTCCTGTTCTTCCTTTTTTATCCATTGAAATTCAATCGTACATACTATATATTGAAAGAGTATTGACGAAAAAAGAGGAAAGTATGTTTGGGACAGCTAAAGACAGGTTTGTCATTCTGATTTTTGGGTCCGAGGGAGTATTATTTTCTAGAATAGTCTGACACAGAAATGCCTAGCTTAAATCACGCTACAACACCTCTTACAAAGATCACCCCAATCCAAGTGGTTTTAGATTTCCTCCTTTACCAAAATCAGGAAAACATGAAGCACCGAAACCAGGTATTAATTCCACTAATTAACAGTATCATGACAGTGCAACTAGGGGTGCCAGCATTAACTTGTGTAGTACCCAACTCTCATCATATATACTCTTTTCAAAAGTTCAAGTGCCTCTTTTCCCTCTTTGCATTGTCATCTACAATTTAAAATTACTTTAGGGTAGATATTCTAGCACAACAGCATATATTTTAGGATATATAATGCACATACCAAGACTTCAGCTTGAGGTATTTGCTCAACATCTTCTACTTCTGTTCCCTCTTTTGCCTGTTTCTTAGCCTCTTTCCTAATTTTCTTCAATTTGGCACGCTTCTCCGCTTTAGTCAGCCTCACCACACTTGCATCAATACCAGCATCTTTGTTGTTAGTATTAGCTTCATCTTTATCTTCGTTTTCAGATTTTTGTGTAGCCTTTGGCACTGTATAACATGATAAGACTCAATTAACGGTTACAGCAGGTAAAATACCGGGTGATGATGAGTGAACAAGAGCTTTTAGTACCTGTCCTGTAATAAAGTTTTCCATCTAATGTCTTCACAGGAAGAGCATCCACAGGATCAACCTCTAGTCCCTGTTTTTCTGTTTCTTTATCAAGTGACTTCTTCTTTAATCGCCTTTCATACAGAGACTCCAGCTCATCTTCTTTCACATCGGCAACACGAGTAACGTGCCTTTCCAATAACAATAATAAGATCAGTTATAGAACTTTAGAAAGTTAATAGACTTGCACAAGACGGGAATAGGATATAAGAAACTTAAAGAAACAGATGTTCTAACTAAATCGTACTCCCAATGTTGAACATAGCAAAAAATAGAAGTTAAGCAAATACAAAAGGACACATCACTCTCACATTATTTAAGAAACATAGCAATCCATTGAACAAATAAAAGTTGCCATGTCAGATAGATTAACTTGAAAAAGGGCCAAATGCCAAGGAAAACGTCAAGAGTGGGAAATGAAAACGACCCCTAACTACAGGGGCACCAGGGTGAACTATTCAATAATCCAGGATACTGTGAGAAGATCACAAGAGCTTAAGAAAATTCCAGGATACGGTGAACTTCTTCGAATTGGTGAATTATGGGCCCATTGACAAGCTACAAAACTAGGATAAGCATTAAACTAATTAAGCTCTGGAGCTTCTGAACAAAGAGCCAAACTATGGGAGCTAAAGGTGATTTCGCGACCACTTAAAACTAGATTTTCGAAAAGGAAAAAAAAGGTTCACTATGGACCAATCATTACTGTAGGCCGCAATAGAATCTGGCAGAAAAATATGCTCAGCTGTCAATCTTGTGTCAGTTTGAATCACTCATTCAGATGGGGGAGAATGGATTGATTGCAAATGAGCTATTATGCCTGCCAAAGCTCACACATGTGTTACATGGAAGAACTGTTTCCCTGATTAAACCCACTTCCACGACCAAAAAAAGGATTCCAAGTTGAAATGGGAGGCAAATTCTTTGAGCTAGACTTCCTTTTCTACCTGTTTGATCTTTTCTAACTAAAATTTAACTATTTGATCCACCAATGTTCGTTACACTTCGATAATTTTAGGTCAAAAATCAATCTTAAGTTTGGCACTTCTGATCAAGAGAGAGGAGTTTATTGGCCTCCCATTTATTTGGGGGAAATGTAAAACACACAGTTGGATCATCAAGTAAATCTTTTTTAATGATGAGAAGATTTTGGCAGAGAGCACCAACGTAGTAACCCTTCGATGCCAGAAGTTTGACCTTTTACCTATTGAGTCTTGGAAAATACTCTCAACACGTCACTGAGTAGAATTTTTCAGTAAGAGATGAGCATGAAGGCAAGGATAACAGCAATACAGAGGGAAAAGACACTGGCCACTTAGATAAAGCTCTAGCATACTCCATATAGTACATTAACATGTGGAAGTGTCAAATGAAGCACAAGTTATACAATATGTAGGTATCCTACAATTTTTTGAGATAAAGGTAACTCGTATTCATAGAAAACTCAGCACCAAAACAAATGCTGAGGGAGAGGATTTACAATTACAAAAAAGGAGTATGGGGGTTTATTTGTACATCTATTTTCTTACACTTTGCCTATGAAATCTACTAAATCTCCTATATCCCCCATTAAAACCTGCTTATACCAAAAATAGAAAAGGCTGAAGCTATTCATCTTGATTTTCTAAATGGAATTTCTTCTATCTTCAAAATGTCTTAAGTTTCTCTCCTTCCAAACTGTCCACCATATGCATGCTGGAATACTTTGTCATCAATCCTCCTCTGCCTCCTTTCTTCCAACTCCCTTCCTACATAGAGCTAACATCGGTTTTGTTTCCCTTCTAGGCATTTAAAATCGTTCTTCCATGAATTTTCTTCTTCTTTATGAAAGTCGATATTTGATCAACCAGTCATATTTTTTTATCAGGTTGATCAACCGATCATAAGAGACCTAAGGGGAAAAAATCATTTTTCCGAAAATAACTAATACTACCAAATATAATTTCAAATATTAGTCTCTAGCAAATCAATTAAACAGTATATTCCCCTTTGCAAGAGCTCTGTCTTTTCTAGTTTTCGGATATGTAGACTTTTGAGTGAACATTTTTCAAGCAAAAAATACAGATTTATACCACATTCAAATCATCCAACTTACCGAATCAAAATGAAAAAGTTTCATTATCTATGCATCAATCCACAAAAATAAAGTCGAAACCAACCAAAAATCATGCCGAGAATTGCTCATTTACGAACACCTTTGTAATACACAAAACCATACCAGGGTTGCAAGATTATTTTTTTTAAAAAAAAAAAAACATATATGTATGTGCATTAGCTCCAACAACATAAAGTGAGAATAAACAAATATACATGCCAATAATTGCTTACTTATTAATTGACTTCGTATCCAAATTCGACAAGAATCCAGTATATTCTCGATTTTCGCTTACGAAAAGCACGTCTTCATCTGATACTTCGACTGCTTCATCAGGAACTTCCGGTGGAAGATCAGGAGGTAGAACAATCTTTTGCTTTTTCTTCCCCATTACTAATAATCTCTGCAAGAGGTAAATATACAAACTGTAAGCTTCTGAAATCAACTAAACATAAACTGAGCTTGAGATAAAAAAAATTTAAAAAGTTACTTGCTAAAACAAAAACCAATATTAGAACACAAACACAAAATCAAGCTAGTAGAGGCAGATACTCAGTGTAATATGCAGAGGGAAAGATGAACATACGCTTTAATTTGATTTTTCTGTTGAGAGAGAATGAGTATAGTATGGTGTTTTGCAGAAAGAGAGGAGGGAAGCGGCTCAATGTGAGAAAATTTATTTGAGGGCTCAATCTGAATTGGAGCGCAAGTTTGAGTTTGGGTCTACTATTTCTATCGGCCCATTTAAAAAGGAATATGGGCTTCCACACAAGTTCAGGGGTAAGTGCTCAAATTGCCAATTTTGGTTCAGTTTGCAAGTTTTTCCTTTCATGATAATATCTAAAGAAGTACGATTGATTGAATCAGATGATAGCTTCACAATCGATAGATCAGTGTGTTTGCAACAAATTTTAAAGTTGAAAATAAATTGCAATCACAATAAACATAACTTTATTGATAAAGATTGTGGGTACAATTATGTTTCTGTTATGATTTCAATCGAGATCAAAATTCAAATGCAAAAATTAACAATCAACTCAACACCCTTTTTGGGAATTTTCTGTGATTTATCAAAAACAGAGAAATGATACTCAATTGAACAAGGAAATTCTAGCTAGAAAAAGAAACTATTTGTAGTGAGCTCCATATTCGAGACGTGATCTGCAGAAGAGGAAGAAGAGAGAAGAAGATCAGATTTAGATGAGAAGAGGAAGAAGAGAGCACGAGAAGAGAATTGAAAATTACCAGATTTCAATTAGCCCTCTCTCTCCTCTGTGATGTGTATATATAACCATATGTCCATGTGGCACGATCTCGTCCCTTCAGCTTTATTTAAATGAATTGAATATCGACCCTTCAATCTTTTAATTTCACTGTTAATGGCTTATACTTTTTCCCTAGTTCAAATCTTGACAACAACATTTTATAAGCTAGGATTGAGATCATAACATACCCTCCGTCTTCAAATGATTCTTGTCCTCAAGGATCAGGACTAAAATTAGGGAAGGTGGTGTGTAAGTGTTGGTAGTCCTCTCATGTAGCATCTTCAGGAGGAAGGTTTGACCATTGAACCAACATTTTTACAGCAGCAACATTATTCTGCTTAACCATTTGCCTTTGCAGAATGGCAACTGGTCGCACTATAAACTGACCATCAGCTCCAATGTTAGGTAGAGACGACTGAACCACTACACGATTTTCCACTTTCTTTTTGAGTAACGAGACATGGAATACATGGTGGACCTTAGATTCAGGTGGTAATGCTAGTTTGTAAGCTACATTACCAATCCTAGCAATAACCAAATAGGGACCATAGTATTTAGAATTGAGCTTAAGGTTCCTCTGTAGTGCTAATGATGTTTGTCTGTATGGCTGCAACTTCAAATATACTGAATCTCCCACTGCAAACTCTCTATCGGTCCTTCGATTATCAGCAAAGAACTTCATCATGGCTTGAGCTGCATGTAAGTTATCCTTAAATAATTGTAAAAATTGTTGTCTATGTATGATCACATCTTCAGCAGCTTGCACCACATTTTCTAATAAAGGTCTGATACATAGCTGAGGGGGTGTATACCCATAAAGAGCTTCAAAAGGAGTACACTTCAACCCTGTATGAAAATTAGTATTATACCACCATTCAGTTGCGGATAGTCATTGTTTCCACTGGTTAGGAATGATTGCCACCATGCATCTTAAGTAGTTTTCCAAGCACCTATTAACCCTTTCTGTTTGGCCATCACTTTTGAGGTGATAGGCAGAGCTATAATTGAGTTGAGTGCCCAGTAAGTTGAATAAAGCTCGCCAAAAGTTGCTCAGAAACACCTTGTCCCTATCAGTCACAATAGACTCTGGAGTGCCATATAGGCTATGTATCCTCTTCCAAAACACGAAAGCAATAGTGTCGGCAGTATAGGGGTGCGATAAAGCTATGAAATGGGCATACTTAGAGAATCTATCAACCACCACTAATATGACATCTTTAGACTTAGACTTGGGAAGACCTTCCACAAAGTCCATGATGATATGGCACCATGCTTAATTTAGAACAGGTAAGGGTTGCAACAATCCCGGATAAGCCGCATTATCATCTTTATTCCTGTGGTATACATCACAACTGGACACATAATCATTAACCATAAACTTCATCTTTGGCCAATAGAAGAGTTGCGACAGCCTTTTCAATGTACCTAACTGACCAGAATGACCACCAATGGGAGTGTCATGGAAAAAAGAAATGAGTTGTTGTCTGAGAGTTCCATGAGATCCTACTGCAAGTAGTGTAATAATGTATCGAACATGAGCATCCTCTACATAGCTCCCGATAATCTCTCGTACCCAAGTTGGAGTGCAACTGCTTATAGCCATTAAATTCCCAATATCCTGATTATCCAAGGAATCTAACCCTTCTTGTTGCCTAGACAAAGCATCAACAACTCTATTTTCAGCACCTCTCTTATATTGAACCTCATAATCAGGTCCCAACAACTTGGTCAAACCCTTCTGCTGAATAACGGAGGTTACCTTTTATTCCAGTAGATACTTTAAGCTATGATGGTCAGTCCGCACCACGAAGTGCTTGAACTAGAGATAGTGTCTCCACTTATCCACAACACTTAACAAAGCCATATATTCATTCTCATAAATAGACTTGCCTCGGTGCTTGGGTGCCAACACCTTACTAAAATAAGCAATTGGTCTCCCCTTCTGCATAAGTACTGCACCAATGCCTCCATGACTGGCATCAGTCTCAACGACAAACTCTTGTGAATAGTCAGGAAGTGCGAGCACAGATGTAGTGCTCATAGCTGTCTTAAGGGCTTCAAATGCTAGACATGCCTCTGGATTTCATTTGAAGGCATCCTTCTTTAACAAATCAGTGAGGGGCCTACTAATAGTATTATAATTAACAACATACTTTCTATAGTAGCCAGTAAGACCGAGGAATCCTCTAAGTGCTTTGAGTGTTTTTGGTCTAGGCCATTCGACCATGGCTCTAATTTTTTGAGGATCAGTAGCTACACCTTCCCTAGTAATAACATGCCCCAAGTACTCCACTTGTGGTTGGCCAAATGAACACTTCGTTCTCTTAGCATAGAGTGAATGTCGTTTGAGAATCTCAAATACAACTTTCAAGTGTTGCACATGATCATTTACTGTTAGACTATACACAAGTATATCATCAAAAAACACTAAGACAAATTTTCGCAAGAAAGGTTGGAAAACCTAATTCATAAGAGCTTGGAAGGTAGCTAGAGCATTGGTAAGACCAAAAGGCATCACTTTAAACTCATAATGTCCTGCATGAGTCCTGAAAGCAGTCTTGAACACATCCTTTCTTTTCATTCTTATCTGATGGTAGCCTGCCCTGAGATCAACCTTGGAGAAAATTACTGCACCACACAACTCATCTAAGAGATCATCCACTATAGGGATGGGGTACTTATTCTTAATGGTGATGTCATTAAGGCCCCTATAATCAATACAAAATCTCCAAGTACCGTCCTTCTTCTTGACTAGTAAGGCTGGTGAAGAGAATGGAGATTGACTACGTTGAATCACTCTACTGGTAAGCATCTCATTTACTTGTTTCTCCAACTCGTCTTTCTGGTTGTAATTGTATCTATAGGGTGTCAAACTAACTAGCATGGCCCCAGGCTTTAGTGGAATAGCATGACCTAATGATCTCATAGGTAGTAGGGATTTATGTTCAGCAAATACCTCGACATACTGATCTATCACCTCTTGTACTGCAGCATCAAGAGGATCTTCACTCGCATTCGGCATCATGAACAAGTGAGCAATAAGAGCATGTCCTTTCTTCAGGATTCGACTCATGGAACCACTACTGAACATCTTCAAACTGCCTTCTACTAGAGCTGGCAAAACTAGTTTGTTAGGCTTCCTTCCAATAATGACACATCTTTTTTCATGATCAAACGTAGTGGGGTTGTGCCTTTTCATCCAGTCATTACCAAGTACCAAATCACAACCTCCTAAGTGAATGATGAGTAGGTCTTCCATAAATGTTTGCCTTTGCATTTTCCATAAAAAAAACCTTTGCAATGGGATGTGCACATCACATAGTTACCATCAACCACGGTCACTCTCACAGGAGGGCAATGGCTGGATTGATGCCCTGTAGCTTGGACGGTATGTTTATCTATGAAGCTATGAGTACTACCTAAATTAATCAATATAGATAGCTGCCTCTTCTTCATAGTATCCCCCACTAAAATAGTGTTTTCACCTTGATTATGACATGTTAAAGCATCCAGGCACACAGCTTGTTGAATCTCTTGTTCTATTACTTCTTATATCATCACATCAGGTGGTTCATCTTCTTCCTGGTAAGTGTTAATTTCATTCATGTTAATTTCAGCCTCTATTCCCCTATCAAACAATTTAGTTGCCTCCTTTTGCATACATGACCAGGCCATACTTTTCTCCATACCTGAAGCACAAATGATTGATTTTCCTATACTCATACACCTCCGGGCTGAGTCGTAATGTAGTATTCTTCACAACGGCGTTAGCAGGCCCTCTGTTAACAATCGTATTAGTCACAAGCTGAGCAGATCTGGTACTTGTCTTATTCCTCTTTTGAGAGCTTCAATAGCTAGCTCCTGCATCTTAGCCTTTTCAATCATTATCTTCAATTTAGTAGGTTTAAACAGCTTGACAGCAAACCTGATTTCCTCTTTCAATGCTCCTATGAAACTACATAGAAAGTGAGATTTATTTAGTGCATGATTTCAAATAAGCATTTGAGCCTTAAGGTGCTCAAATCTCCCAAGTAATTTATCAACAGAACCTACTTGGCTCAATTTATTAAATTCCTCAACCACATCTTCCACCAGTATGTCACTAAAACAATTGATCAGTTCCTCCTTGAACTTGATCCATGTCACTAACCCTCTACTCAACACCAACGACTGATACCATACCTCAGCCAATCCATTCAATAAAAAACAGCAGATTTCACCTTATGTTCATCAAGTATTCTATATTGATCAAAATATTTCTCGCATTTTCGAATCCATACCTTAGGTTCCTCACCTTCAAAAGAGGGCAATTCCTATTTCGGTGGCAGGATAGGAGGTTGTTGGGGCCGATTTCTATTATCTTGAGCTGGACTTGGAAGTAACCCTTCTCCAATGTTTGGACCAGCAGGAGATTTTTCTAA